ACCTCGAAAATATGTTGTCTGGGGGTCCAACTCGTCGAGGGCATGAACCAACTCGGCGAGTTGGATCGATTTGATCACATTTTAGGCAAGGAATCGCCGAGTCTCCTGATGGACTCGCCGAGTCTTATGATCAGACAGCAACAAATTCGTTTTTTTAGCTTCTATTGCAGGTATAACAAGAAAACAAGCCTAGGCTCTGATACCACTGTAGGGTTTTGAGCATTCTAACACTCCTAAGTGTACATGCAACCCTAAATACCTTGGATCTATGTTTTCTCTATTATACATGCAAATATCAACTTTCCAAGGTATTGTTCTATTCTAGCATACTAAACGTTGAATAACACAAGTTAGAATAACATACCTTTTGTTAGTGTTTGTCTTCATGAAGCTTGAGTGCCTAGTGCCCCAAGTGTGACACCTCAAATGGTTCACACAACACCATGAACACTTGGAATAACTTAGAGAGAATTCTACACTTCATGAAATCGGCTAGCCCTCTCTAGAATAATACTAATGCCGATTTTGTCAAGAATAAGATCTTTGTATAGTGTTACAATTAGGGTAAACCCTAATTGTCATGACTTTCCATTTCCTTGGATCCATGGGTTCAAATACACCATGGAGCATCCATGGACCATCCAATGGGTTTTAGCCCAACTTGATTATCCATGGAGCATAAGCCCACTATACAAGTATGGATGATTTACACAATCAACCCATATATTTAATTAGTCTTCTTTTGATCACTTAATTAATCCTAGATTAATTCTTGATCAATACTAATTAAATAATCTCATTATTCTTATTATTAATATACTAGAACTTATAATATATTAATAACCATAAGTGTCTTATTTCTCTCATTATAGTCTATCCAAGTGCATGATGCCATGCAACCCAAATGGACCATGCCGGGTTGGGTCGGGTCAAGTCTTACCAGTTATAGTTATGGACTTAGACATTAATCCAACAGTAATTCCGCGCCTACCACCTTTCATTTGTGGTACCTTCTTGCCACTTTTCTCCATTAGGGACCAATATTGCCAATAACTTCAAAGTGCTATAACGTCTTCGTCCCAAGTCCGTTTCTGAAGAACTTTATATCCACGAAAAGGTGGCGAGAAGCCCTATGCTCCTAGCTATTCCCTCAATCCTAAAATCCTTCCAAATAGTAGCCGAAACCCATAAAATATAGAATCATCAGATTACGCTTATGCCCATGTCCTCCGAAGACACAAACGAACACTTTCAAAACTTGGTGTTACACAATTTGGTTAACTTACAATAGAAAATTAGTTATATTTGCAAACCAAAGTTAAATATAGGAGTGTCTTTTCACATTTTTTCGTTACATCTAGTTGATTCGCTATTATGTGCTACAATTTAGTGAAGATTCGTCGCTCATCTTCTGCTCCTTTAAATTTGGTACTTGGATATGCTTATAATATTGAATGAATCGACTGAAATGTTTCAGATCATGATAAGATTGCTGATTTTGAGATGAAGCTGACGGATACTGATAGTGAACATCTTGGAATACCAAAAGCATAATATAAAGCCATTGTTGGAATGTCATCATCAGAGTTTGCAAGAACATGGACGGGAGATGGCGACGATGGGTAGTATATGATGTAGTGATGGTCAATCGTGGTTGTGAATGGGGGTAATGAAGGTAAAGGGCAAATCAAGGGAAGGAGACTAGTCGCCGACGATGATGTTGTTGGCATAAACTGGTGGATGACGGTGGTGGTGGCAGAGTCTGGTGGTCGACGGGTGGTGGTGGTGGCGGATAATGGAGGCAACAAGTGTTCTTTATGTTCTTAAGTGTTTATATGAACGCATATGTGTTTTGAATTTATGAGAGAGATATATAAAAATATTTAAATAAATAAATAAAATTGAAAAAACTAAGGGCAAAATCGTCATTATCAAAAAAATTAAAGTAAATTGGACCAAAGTGTTAAGAAAAGGAAAGCATTTGGACCATGAGTGCTAATCTCTATCTTTTTGATCCAATGTGATAATTTCCAACTAAACACACAGAATATTCTTGCAATTTTGTCTTGAGTTATTAAGATATAAATTGATATACATTTATTTTTTGTTTTGTTTAAAAAATTAATTGGTTTCCAAATGAAGTCTACGATCTTTTCAAAATTTTAAAGATTACGTTGGTGTTATATTACTATTTATAAGGAAGAAAAAAAAATGGGTGACAATTATAACTTAAAAGAAAATAGAAAGGCTTTGTAGTCTACATTTCTAGGGTTTCTACATCCTGGTCATGTTTCCAATTTGGTGCTCATTCATAGGATTTAAGCTCTTGTGTGGTAAGGATTTGATTCGCTTTAGTTTTCTTAGATTTGTAAAAAGGTTGGAAATTTCAGAAAGAACATGTGGTCCTCTGGTGTTATTGCTCTTAGGCCATTTTCTGACAACTCCATTTTGCCTTCGTTATTTATACATAACGAATATCCGATAATGATTTAATTGGTTCTTTCAAGTTCCATGGTTCCAATGAAGGTGTTGGAGTTGAATTCCATTGAGTCGGTGAAACTTCATATTCAAAGCTATAATGGGTTTGTTGTGAAGAACTAGAAGTTGGTTTGTGGAGGTAAGGTATTATCCAATAGGGATGAAAGTGGATCGAAACCCAGACCCGGAAAACCCGGAACCGGTTAACAAGATTTTGTAGAACCGGAAACCAGACCAGTATATAGGAACCGGTTCCGGTTCGGTTTCGGGTATGGTTCCGGGTAAAGTGGGTCTAGAACCAAAAAACCCGGAAACAGCAAAGTGGGTAGGTTGGAACCGGATAAAGTGGGTTTAGAACCGGAAAAACCCAAAAAACCCGAAATTTTTTGGTAATTACTTACTACTTAGTGGGTTGAACTTTGAAAATTTTCATATTGATATCCCGAATTTGGGAGATTGTAACTCATTGAATCTGAAACCAAAATTAACAAAATTATAGTCTAAAATCATGTACAAACTCTAAAATATACTCTAGAAAAAACAACATGTCAATTTGACTTTAAATGAATGAGATATGCATGTGTTAACATTTTCACATAATACAAAGTACAAAAACAAATAGCTGAAAAATTGAAAATCTTCAGTTTTGATATCCCGACTTCAGAGGACTATAAATCATTGAATGTTAAACCAAAAATGACAAATTTATAGTCTAAACTCATGTACAAACTGTAAAGTGCAAGTTGGAAAAAACTACATGTCAATCCGACTTCAAACGAATTAGATATGCATGTTTTAAAACTTTCACCGAATACAAAAAAACTGAAAAACTAAAAATTTCCAGCTTTGATATCTCGACTTTGGGGGACTGTAAGTCAAAGAATATAAAACTAAAAATGGCAAATTTATAATCTAGAGTCATGTACAAACTCTAAACTACATGTTGAAAAAAAACCGCATGTCAATCGGAGTTGAAACGAATGAGATATGCATCTTTTAAATGTTTCACAAAAACTGCTTCCGGTCCTAAAAGTGGTTCCGGTTCCGAACACCGGTTCCGGTTTTTAGACCCGGTTTACCCAGACCTGATGGACCCAAACCCGGATTACCCGGATAAAGCCAATTTTAAACCCGAAACCGGTTCTATATATTCCGGTTCTAACGGTTTCGGTTCCGGTCCGATTCTGGTCCCGGTCCGGTTTTCCGGTTCTAAATCTCATCCCTATTATCCAAGAGTAATTCTTTGTTAAGGTCTGAGTCAAGTACCCAGTAAAAAGCATGGATTTATCTGATCAATTTGATTGGTGCGTTCATCATTTGTGGTTTATGAACATATGTAATGTTTTGGGGCTGCAATTATGTTCTTTGGTTGGAGAAGATGAATCGGGGAATGGCTTCGTACAAGAGAAAGAGAGAGAGACCCTTTGTATATTTAATAATTATGAAATATTTAAAAATATGAAAAAATAGAAAATAAATACCCCAACGGGTATTAAAGTCATTTCACTTTACTGATGGACCAAATCCGCAACGAAACTAGTTCAAAAGGACCACAAAACCAAAAAAGTCGAGATTTGGACTAAACTTCAGAAAAAATGCATACCATAGGGATCATTTTTTGCACTTTTGTATGTTTTAATTTTTTGAAATATTCTATATAACCTATTCTATATTTCTTTTCTTTTGTTTTTAAGCATATACAATATTTTTAAAGTAAATAATAACATGAACAAAACGAAAAGATAATTACTCTGTGAAGTTATTTTCCCACTATAAAACTTATGTCTAACAATTTAATAAAAAATAGTTCGAAGGGAAGTTTTTCTAGGGACCTAAAAGACTAATTAATCTATAGTTGTTTTGGATTATATTATGTTTGAAAAAATTATTTTTTTATTTATATTAAAATATTTGATAGAAAAATATAGATATTTGAAATATATAAAATATAAAAGGCAAAAGTTAGAATTATATCAAAATTTATTGGAAGCACTTTTTGAATTAATGTTCATACTTTCAATATATATATATATATATATATATATATATATATATATATATATATATATATATATATATATATATATCATTTTTTTTTTAAAACTAAAAGTTAAAATTCTTAAAACTATAATTTTCTTTTTTCAAAAACCCGTTACCAACACTACATTAAAAAAGGTAAGACAGCTAAATGGTTTTTTTTTATCGGAAATCATTGATATATGTAACATCAAATATGCAATTACTTGCAAGTCATTAATTTTGTAACCTATAAATCGCACACTTACTCCAACATATACATAAATGAGAGACTTCAATAATTATAATGGTTAAAAATACTAATTCATCATTTTAAATCTGAAAAAATTATCTTATATCTTTGATGATATAATATCAATAAATTCTACATACATTTAAATCTTCATAAAGTTGTAAAGCTTTACCAAAATATTAAAAGATTATACCATCCTTCTTGAAATTATAATTATAATTATAATCGGTCTATATTTAAAGCTTCCAACAATATGGGTACAAGTATACAAGGCGGGAATGGAATGCAAATGGAATCCTGATGAATTAATTCATAATAAAACATTTTTTTTTTAATTTTTTTAATTTTGAAAAAAGTAAAAGGAACAAAGCCAAAGAAGAAGCAGCAGGCCAGCAGAGTCGTCTATCTCCTTTTTCATCTCTTCCAATCTCTCATCTCCAAAACTCAGAAAAAAACCAGCTTCAATCAGTATACGCATTTCGTGGATCCACCTTCAAAGTTTGAAATTACAGTAGAATTAGAACGTAAACCCTATCCCTTAATGTTAATTTTAACAAAAATCTACTATTTCTGTTCGACAGTTTAGTCGGTGATCTTCTTAAGGTATGTTATCTCTTCCATGTTGCTTTATTAATTTTATTTGTTTTTGTATATGACTTCAAGTAGATCTGCGATGGAATGCTTTCGTATCGATTTATTTCATCAATTAGCTCAATTTATAAATTGGATTTGACTAGATTTTGGGTAATGCTGCTAGCTTTTGATAAATGTGTTAGGGTTTTTGTGGGGTTGTAATTCTTTTTCGTACGTTTTATACATGAAATCGAGTTACTTTTCCTGAAATTTGAAATTGGGGGTCGAGAATAATGGAATTTAGAATTGTTTAACAATGTTGCCCAAATCCTTTTATGAAATTTGGGAAAAGTCTCATTTGATTGTTATCTTCTTCTGGGTTTTACATATAATTTTAACAATTATTCGTACTTTTAGCACTATCTCCTAACATTCAAGGAAGCAAAAGTTGAGCTAGTTTGTAATGGATCTTCACCAAGATTCAAATGGAAGTGCAAACAACCAATCAGATGGTTTAATCAATGGTAATGGCACATGTTTTCCTGCTGCTAAAGTGCCAGAATTGACAAAACTTAACAGTTTAGAGGTTAACAATCTACTGCTTTTCTTTTTCATTTTCCTTGAACTGTAAAATCTACATTTTGCTCTATTTTTTCTATACCTTTATCCAAATTCAACTTCTATACACAGAATGCATCTTCTCGATCACTTTTTAAAATTGTTCACAAGATTCTTGATGACACCATTGAGAACAAGAAAGAAGATGTACCAGATGTAAGTCAATTACTGGGTTCTAAATTCTGATAAATTACCATTTCTGTAAAACATTTCAATAAGTTCATCTTCTATTATGTAGAGAGTTGCCAGTGTATTAAAAAAGCTCATTCAAATGACCGAGCAACAAATTTCAAAGCAAGCAGAATATTTCAAGAAGGTAAAGCTTAAAGAGTTTCTAGAAATATTCAAATTTCACTTTAAACTTATATAATAGTAGTTTTGCTTTTTTGTGTTTACAGCAAAAGAATATATACAAGACACGTGAGGAGAAATACCAATTAAAATTTAAAGTGCTTGGATCTCTTGTTATTGGAGCTGCAGAAGAAAATGAGCTCATTAAGAACCAACTCCAGCTTATTAAGTCTGAGAAAAAGAAGATAGAAGACATAAAAAAACTTGAAGATGTAGAATTAATTAGACTTAGACAAGAGAAAAATGAGTGTAATTTAGAGATTTCTAAATTAAAACAGGAAATAGAAATCACAAGGGATACATATGAGACTCGATATGTACAACTTGAAAAACATGGGATTGAAGTTGAATCTGAGCTGAAGAACAAGATAACAGATCTTGAAAATCTTCTTACTGGATCAAGAAAGAAGGTGAAAGAACTTGAAAAGTTCACAGAATCCAAGTTCTTAAGATGGAAAAAGAAAGAACGTGGCTACAAAAACTTCATGGATTTCCAGTCTGGATCTTTAAAGGAATTAAGAATGGGTTCTGAATCCATTAAGCAAGAAGTTCTGAAGACACAACAGATTTACACCGAAGAAATTAATCAATTTGGTAAATTTTCACCTTTCACATCTATCTTTTTTCATAAATTAAATGACATTTGTTTTTACATCATGTTTTTTTTTTTTGACATTTTGTGAATTTGAATAGGCATGAAGATTCAAGGGCTTGTAGATGCTGCACAAAATTACCATACCGTCCTTACAGAAAACCGGAAGTTGTACAATGAAGTACAGGATTTGAAAGGTATTTAAAATGCATATAGAGATATAAACATAATGTGTGATTAATCATTATACAATTTTTACTAATTTCTTTTATTGTTTTTACAGGGAATATTAGGGTTTATTGTCGTATAAGGCCATTTCTCAAGGGTCAAAATCAAAAACAAACAACCATAGAGTACATTGGCGAAAATGGTGAATTAATTGTGACAAATCCTTCAAAACAAATCAAAGAAAGCCACCGACTCTTTAAATTCAATAAAGTTTTTAGCCCTTCAGCAACACAAGGTTTTTTTTTTTCTTCTACCATTATCATTTTGTATTATATTATATACACATAACACTTTTTTATAATCTTTCTTTTACAGAGGATGTATTTGTTGACACTCAACCACTCATTCGGTCAGTGTTAGATGGATACAATGTATGCATATTTGCATATGGTCAAACAGGGTCTGGGAAGACATATACTATGGTAATTATTAAATCTTTATGTTAATAAATTTAAATTTTATCGTACAATATTTGACTTTTTTTTTTTTTTTTTTCTAGACTGGGCCTAATGTGTCATCTCCAGAAGATTGGGGAGTAAATTATCGAGCTTTAAATGATTTATTTCATCTCTCCCAAACAAGAAGAAGCTCATTTGAATACGAAATCGGTGTTCAAATGGTGGAAATATATAATGAACAAGTTCGTGATCTGTTAACGAGTGACACTACTCAGAGAAGATATCCTTAAATTTGACTTTGACTTTGTAGTTTGACTTTATTTTATTTAAGAATTTTGACCTTGACTTTTCACACACTTGGGATATGGAACTCTACTCAACCGAATGGGTTAGCTGTACCCGATGCCAGCATGCACCCGGTGACATCAACCGCAGATGTTTTGGAATTGATGAATTTAGGGTTAACAAATCGGGCTGTGGGGGCCACCGCTTTGAACGAAAGAAGCAGCCGGTCCCACAGGTGAGAATGGTTTATGATAATTTTTTTTTTTTTTTTTTATAAGGGCAAATTGGAGTGAAGTACAGTGGTATTCCTTTCTTTAACGGGTGTGTAAAACTTTTATGATTCAACACAGTGTGTTGACTGTTCATGTTCGTGGAGTTGACTTGGAGACGAATGGTGTCCTACGTGGCAACTTGCATTTGGTTGACCTTGCGGGAAGTGAAAGAGTTGACCGGTCAGAAGCAACAGGAGACAGACTCCGTGAAGCTCAACACATCAACAAATCTTTATCCGCTTTAGGAGATGTCATTTTTGCCCTTGCCCAAAAAAGTCAACACGTCCCATACAGAAACAGCAAGCTGACTCAGGTCTTACAGAGCTCTTTAGGAGGACAAGCAAAAACTCTCATGTTTGTACAGCTGAATCCCGATGTGGAATCCTTTTCAGAAACCATCAGTACTCTGAAATTCGCTGAGAGAGTGTCGGGTGTCGAGTTGGGTGCAGCCCGTAGTAATAAAGATGCCAGGGGCGTTCGTGAGCTCATGGAACAGGTACCCAAAATCCCTCGGCTATTTTCGTCATTTCACATTACGTTAAGTAGTTTAACACGACACGACACGACACTTTTATTAATATTATTATTATTATTATATGTAGGTCAGTAATTTGAAAGACGCGTTGAGCAAGAAAGATGAGGAGATGGGGAGGTTACGGGGTGGGAAGGCGAATGGGACGCCGCCACGTGGCGAGTGTTTGAGTGAAAGTAGCTCCCATAAAGATCTGAATGATGATGATGATGATATTGAGATATTGGGATTAGGGGAAGATGATTCGGAAGAGAGATTAAGTGATATTTCTGATGGTGGACTTTCAATGGGGACAGAGACCGATGGCTCACTCAGTAGTATTGTCGAGTTGACTCTTTTTCCCGGAGCTTCAAAACCGCCACCCATTGAGAAGTGAGTCGGTCTCTCACCCAAATGTTTTTTTTACCCTTTAGGGGCAAATTCGTCTTTTTGTAAATTCTTTTGGGTTTTTTTATTTTCAGGCCGAATGTACCGGCTAAACTTCCGAGGCCCCCGCAAAAGGCGGCGGTGGCGGCTACTTCTTCTAGAAAACCGGTGCAGACAGGTTCTTCTTCATCTTCACAACGGTTTACAGCACCACCTTCTAGAACATCATTGACCAAGGGTTTGCCACGTGTCTCATTAAGTATGTACATCATCTTACTTAATTGTTCCTTTTATTGTGAAAATTGTTACTAAATTGAATGATGTTTTCAGGTTCTAGTGGTAAAAAGTCAACTTCCGGAAGCTCTTCGGTCAAACCTGGTGTGAGAAGGTGAAGATTGATCTTTAATGGCATGACTGTTCCGTAAGATAGATTAGCATTGACTGTATGTTATTCATGGGAAAACAATTGTGGTTGTGAAAATTTAATATATGAAAACAGTGTTACTTAGAATGTTAGATCTAGGGGTAAAGAGGTCAAGATTTTCTTGATCGATTGTGGAAATTGGATTATGTTATTCAAGTTTTAGGGTTGATGTTTGCCATCTGTTGTTTTATGCTTTATTTTGTAGGTGTTCTATTAGAGAAATGAAAGATATGGATCATGGGGTGTTTTTTTTTTTATTTGATATGAGTAGAAATAAAGATGGAAATTACAGAATAAAAATGAAGAAGAGATGAGGGAGGAAAGTACTATAAACGTTTATGACATCTTTTTCATTTTGATTATGGACAAAGTTGCTTTAGAAATTTAGCAAATGGACCAACAAACTACAAAGGTATTGTCTTTGTACCAAAAGTATGCATGTTCTATTGGCTTTGTAAAAGTGGGTTGATTTTATTAAGATATTGATTTTTGTCGGTGGTAGTGATTAATGGACAACTGTGATTGTGAAGATCTTTTGGTGGTGGTGATCATGGGCAGTTCTCATGTCTTCATGTTGTTATGGTAATAAAAGGATTATTGAATATTTGAATACATAATTCACCAAATATCTCCATAGGTGGTCGTTAGATAATCACACATGTTTATGTCCAAACATGAGTATGATCATAACATACTCATGTCTCATACATGTGTACATGTGGTTTTGTGATGAAGTTGTTTACTTTACATACACATGTTTATGTCCATAATCGAACCCATATTCACATATTTGACATTAACATTAATATATGCGCTTTTGTAGTTTGGTCATATAATTTGATTTGATTACATGAGCCGATGTGTGATCAACACCCAAATCTATGAAAATTGTTACTGGTTTTTCTGTCTAAAAATATGACATTTGAACACAACCATTCCAAACATATCTCGAAAAAAGTTCTTTCGAAAAATACACTAATTTTTAAATATACTTCTTCTACACTTTCAGATATAAAATTACAAATAGTATTATCAAAATCAGCATTGGAAAACAAATAGGTTAAATTATCGATATACTCATGTAAAGTTTCTACTAAACATCAACTCTAGAGTAACTTCATAATTCCAAACAAGAAATTTCTTCTACATCATCTTAGATGTTTCTCTTTTACTAAATGCCTTCATCATATTTTATTGATTGATATTTATAGTCACATGTCTTACAAATAATACCTTATACATGCTTCTTGTCATCCTCTACTATTTGACTTTATTTTTTATTTTATTTATTTATTTTGGAACGGTGAATTTTATAAAACTAACAAGAAGCTAGAAAAGAACCATTACATCAAAGTTGTAGCAGAAATAGGATTATGAAGCCAAGAACTCCAACTAATCTTGGCTTTAATGCACCTATTAGAAATCCAAAAAAATGACCTATAAACAACTTCATCAAAAAGTAAAGATATCCTAGGAGTAGCCGCTCCAAACATTGAAGAATTTCTGAAATCCCAAATACACCAAAAGCAAGCCAAAACCACTGCATTAAAGGCCTTTTGCTGACTTGGTCTCAAGGAGATAGAATTTGACCGCAAGATAAGAGACTCGACAGAAAGCTAGGGCGAAACTTGAAGACTCCACCAAACAACAATATGTGACCATAAAACAATCAACTCCGCACAACCTGCGAAGATATGGTCAATTGTCTCCACACTACATGAACAAATGGGGCAGGTAATCGAGTCCACCATAATACCCTTATCAGATAGACGCTCTCTAGCAGGGATACTGAGAAGCATGATCCTCCGTATAAAAATATTGATCTTAATGGGTATCTAATCGTTCCACCGGGTCTTGAAACCTCCTGAGACAAGTATAATACCACATGTGTACCATACATTTCCAATCTTGTAATTTTATAAACCACTTCATAATATGGTTTGATAAGCATGATGATTATTTTTTTGAATCATGACAAAAGCATGTTGCAATCGAAAGAACACATGCTTATTGATAAATTTAGTGGTAACAAAAGATAGAAAATATATTTAGAAAAAACATATTGTAAGTGTGTTATATGCCATATTCTTTAATATAAATCATCCATAAATTACAAACTTGGTCTTTAAGCTTAAAAGTAAAATAAGTTAGAATATTGTAAGTCACTTCCTACTTTTAATAATTAAATACATGTAAAAAAAGTTGAGGGTTCTTACTGTCACAAAGACAATCTTTCTCACTCGCTTATAAAGTGAATCCAAAAAATTGGCACAAAATGAATTAACTACCATAAGTTCATATTACTATAGTCTTATCCAAATCATGAAATTTGAAAGTATTTAGAAAAACTCCACCACATAACAATGTCATATTATGATAACAATGACTTGTATAAATATAAAGAGGAAAGAAGGAAAAATAAATGCCTAGAAACATTACACGATCTAAATGATTTCCTTCTTTGTTCACAATCTAATCGAACATATTCATGACAAATTTTATAGGCTCTAAAGAGCTGGTTAGATTACATTATTGCAATCACATTATTGCAAGAGGACAAACTATATTTATATTTTAGACTCTTGTACTATTATAATTATTACACATTTTATGTTACATTACATTATTATTAACCGACAAACACTTTATAATTATTATCCTATCGATATTTTTTAAATAATTACAATTCCTTCCATACGGAAAGAACACATGTCTTCAATAATGTTTTTGTTCGTCATGACTTGCGTCTTGCTTCCCAAAGCAATCTTCCTAGCCGATCTATCAGGTCCTATGACTTTATAGGATTATTTTGTTCATGAATTTATCAACACCATCTATTTAGAAGACACCAATCTACACCACATCAGCAAACAATATTGTGATACGTGTCGGTAGGATAATAATTATAAAATGTTTGTCGGTTAGTAATAATGTAACTCCTGCTTTATTCCTTATGGGCAAAGCCCTATTTATAGGCTCTAAAGAGCCGGTTACATTATAGACGATTACATTATTGTAATCACATGATTGCAAGACGACAAACTATATTTACATTTTAGACCCTTAGATTATTATGAGTCTTGCACATTTTATATCACATTACATTATTATTACTAACCGACAAACACTTTATAATTATTATTCCCCCCCCCCCCCACACACACACACACACACACACACACACACACACACACACACCGGTTTGGAACACAAACAATTAATTTTTTTATTAATTAAAAAAAAACTCTCTCAAGTGTGGCACCACTCTTTTGATGTGATATGAACCCTCACTTTTGTGGTAAAGAATAAGATGATTTCTACGTGGCGCTGCAGTTTCATAAGGGAACGTGACACCAATTCCTCCGACCTTATAACTGAGTTTTAATAATAAAAAAAGTCTATGTTATAAACTTATAGTTAATATAATAATCCAATTACATAAAATAAAAATTAACTTTTGATAAGCACATTTTTTATTTAATCATAAAATAATAAGTTTATAATAATATTTTTTCCAAGTAAGTTTTATTGATTCTTTAAACCCTCAATTTTGGACTTAAGTTGTTAGCCTCGATTTTATGGTATAAAAAAACATATTAATATATTCTTTTAAATTGTAGTATATATGTTCATTCATCCAGAAAATATTCATTTAAATGTAATGCTAAACATAAAATACTTTTAAGTAAATATTTTTAATCAACTTAGAAGTAGAATAGAATATTATATATTTCCAGCTGTAATATAAGCAAACTGTATATAACATATTTTTTTTAATAATGTTTATTTTAGAGTACGTATTTTGAAATTGTATATGCAAACATTGTAAACAAAATATTTTTTTAATAATAAGCTCATTACTAAATAAAGGACCTATTTATCTAAAAAACAGTTGCCAGAAAAAATAGGCAAAAATGTTTTTTTTTCTTTTTCTTTTAAATTGGATGGAAATATACTTGTAACTTGTGTGATCTGATAGATTCGTTACCCCTATTATAGATTTCATTGCATATAAAACCTCCACTAAACCCCTCACTCCTTTGAAATTAGCTTTTACAGAAAATGAATCCAACAACGTTAAGCCCTATGCTTCATTCTTTATCGCAATCCAACAATCCATCCAGGTTTCTAATTCTTTCCTGCGCTTGTTCGAATTATTCGTAAATTTTTATTGTGTGGGATTATTGCACAAATCTAGTAGAACTGTAGAAGTAGCGCACAAGATCTATATATTATATAACCATTGATAGGAACTTGTGTACGCTTTGTTGTTTAGAAATTGAGAACCGTTTGCTTCGATAAATTCATGTCAGGATTTTGGCCTTTTCTATTAATTTGATGTGATTTCAATCTGCATTTTCCTTTTTGTGGTTTTGGCGATTTCGGTATTGCGTAGGGTTGACTTGCTTTAGTTGATCAAGTACTATATAGTATGAACTCGAATATGATTATGTTGTTAGAGTCATTGAGGTTTTTTAAGCTTGTCAGGACTCAAAATCGGTGATTTCAATGGGCAATACACAAAGGGATTCAAATTTAAGACCTATAGGTTATATTCTTAGCAAGTTTTAATAAAGTTACCATGATGTGATTGATATTGCAGTTGTATTGCTACTTCTCCACCTGCAACCTTTCTTCTCAAAGGGAATTCTTGAATTGTATGAATCACATCAATGACTGGGGGTTCTCAATCTCGTACAAATGACAAACCTTCAATCAACTATAGATATAATCCTCATGGAGGACCTTTTTTTGACCTTGTGGATGCTACTCGTGAAGATTATGCTCCCAGTCCCCATGATAACAGGAAACAACCTTCTCAAAAAGCTGAATCCAGGTCATCATCCATAGTCAGCACTACTGATCTCATATCAGGAGCTGGCCAATTATGGAATTTTGCCACCTCATCTCTTCCCGTTTTACGCCATAGGACATCAACACAGAACAATGATAACCTTCAAAAAGCAAACACATTTTATTATCCAGCAGAAGAAGGGAATGTAATTGCATCTATTCCTTCTGAAACTCAGAATGTCTCTATCAATCTCAAAGCTAAAACTCATGTTTCACCTACAGTAGATGTGCAAAAAGACCTGGATTCTTTACATGTAGCCAAAAAAATCTCTTCTTTTGATTGTTTCAGTGATTCTCACAGTTGCTACCACCTTTTGAGATCCTGCAAAGAAAAAAAGGTTTCTAGTGTATTGATCTCATATGAATTCCGAAATGTATATGGATGGATGACTGACATACAGCTTTCAGGAGCAAAGTATAAGAAAAGAACCGAATACTGCTCTAATGCTTTAGAAATAAACGGTGTTGAAACAATCAATCCAGATGATGCTACTAGACTTAATAGTGTGACTACAACACATGAAAACACAAACAATATGATCAAAACTAGTGTAAGTGTTATGTCTCTGTGCTCAGATTATCTTCTTCATCCTATAGAAGAGAAAGAGAATGAGTTAAGTGAGATCATAGAGGGTGAAGATAGTAAATTTGTGAAGCAGGAAGTTTGTACATCAACATCATATAAACCACAACATGGAGTTGCAAAACAAGAGCATGCTTTTGCTGGAGCATTTGCTGGAATATTTGTTAGCCTGTGTCTGCACCCCATGGATACAGTGAAGACTGTCATTCAGTCATGTCCTACAGATCAAAGATCCATTCAATATATTGGCAAGTCAATTATATCTGAAAGAGGTATTATGCACTGTGTCTGTTGTTACTCTCTTCTTATTGAAGTAATTTCATTAAAACTGATTATAATCTTGTTTTTCAGGTTTATCAGGACTTTATCGTGGAATCACAAGCAATATTGCTTCTTCAGCACCTATTTCTGCAATTTACACTTTCAGTTATGAATCAGTAAAGGGGGCTTTGCTTCCCCTTTTTGCCAAGGTGAAAGGGTTTTCTTCTTTTTGCTTCCATATATTTTACAAATAGTTTTCTTGATGCTTTGTTTTACAAATTACAGGAGCATCAATCATTGGCTCATTGCATAGCTGGAGGTTGTGCAAGTGTTGCCACATCATTTGTTTTTACTCCAAGTGAGCGAATAAAGCAGCAGATGCAAGTTGGCTCACATTATCACAGCTGTTGGTATGAATATGATCCTTTTTTTTTTTAATAACATTTGACTTTTCTGGTCAACTGATTTTGTAATTTTATAATCACAGGAATGCTTTTTGGGGGATTGTTGGGAAGGGAGGCTTTTCATCATTATACAATGGATGGGGAGCTGTACTTTGTAGGAATGTTCCTCATTCTATTATCAAGGTTAGATTAGATTAGATATAATAATCCAACTTAAAATTTTGAGTGTAAAATCTAACAAAGTTTTCATTTTTATTGTTTGTTTTAGTTCTATACATATGAGAGTTTGAAAAAGATGATGTCTTTGCATCAAGCACATGCTCAACCAACCACAATATCAACGGTTTGTTTTTTGATCTTTAACTGTAGTGTAGGTAATAGAATTTGATTGGTAATTAATAATTAGTAATTAATACTCTTTTTTTTTATAGCTATTATGTGGAGGATTAGCTGGATCTACTGCTGCTTTGTTTACAACTCCTTTTGATGTGGTGAAAACAAGATTGCAGACACAGGTTTGTTTGTGTTTACTTTTTAACATTTTTCATTTGTGAATAAACGAACGATTTGAATAAATAAAAGATATTCATATGAATGATTGATTTGAATAAATTTTGTGTAGATACCTGGATCTGTAAGCCGTTATCATGGTGTTTTTGACACTCTTAAAGACATAGCCCAACATGAAGGACCCAAGGGTCTATATAGGTAATAATGATATTTAATAAATTCACTTTCAAGAAATATATATATATTTTTTTCTGAAAATGATGGATGGATGGAATCAGGGGGTTGACTCCGAGATTGGCCATGTACATGACTCAGGGAGCACTATTTTTTGCATCTTATGAGTCGTTTAAAAGGTTATTTTCTGTGGAAGCTGAACCTAGACCTATTCGGCTCGAATCTTGATCATAAAAAGTAAAAACCAAGTAGCTTGTTTTTGTTGATTATTGAAGCATTTTTGAGGGGAAACAAATCAATCGATTCTTGTGAAGATGGATGGATGGATGGATATGATTGTTTTGATTCTTTTAGTTTAGGTGTCATATGATATGATATGATATAACATGTAAACATTAGAGTGCAAAATTCATGTAAAGAGAAGGATACTATCATATATACTAGTGAAGATGTGTGAGGATTGAGGGAGGAAAGGAAAGGAAAGGAAAGGAAAATATTCTTTTTGTAGAATGTCGCTGAAATTAGTTGCCAATTTTTTCAAGTGCATGTTATTTATTATATTAGACACATATATAATGAGATATGATTCAAATGTTTTCCCACTTGCTACTTCATACATATTCACCAACACACACACACACAAAAAAAAAAAAAAAAAAAAAAAAAGATGGATCTTATTGTTCCTAAATGACCATACGTCAGCTACTTTCATAAATCCAAAGATTACATAAGGTCAACATAGTTACAAACACCCCACTTTAATATTCTAAAAGATAAAACAGATAAGGTAAGAATATATAAAAATCATAAAAATAGAAATAACTTGTACTTGCTTCCACACTTAAACTCACTCAAATAACTTAAAGTTTTCAAGCATAGGTGATAGTCAAGCAAGGGTATCAAATCGGATAGTCATGTTGTATTTTCTATCTTGTATTTTCTATCTGACACGACACAACGATTTTTTATATGACACAAACTGATATCATTTTAAAACACGACTAGCACAATAAAAATAGCATAAAATAACTATCATTTTATTTGATTCATACTTAATCATACAAAACAAGACAAACATTGAAAAACATGTTAATATCATGTTGAATTTTAAACACAAACACGATGTCTTGTTTTTTGCACATGACGCAAACACAAATTCAAATTTCAATTTCGTTCATGTCATGTCTCTATAGTCAAATGAGCTTCAAATGCAAGTAGAAATCTGATAATTATGAAGCTTATGCTAAAGGGTTTTTCATCGATAAAAATGATCCTCAAGTACTCTCGTACGATCTTCGATATGATTCTACATTGGTTTATAATCTAAGTTATAGAACCATTTAGACACACATCCAACTAGATTTGAACCATCAACCTTTGGCTTTGGCTGATGGACACATATCCGTCAACTCCTGATACTGGTAAGCAAAAGGTCATTTGGTGGTTCATAATCTAAGTTAATTAGTGCAACATTAAACATCGTTTAATGCCAGAATGGCTTGACTCTCTCTTTTTGTGAACAAGTATCTAGTATTTCGGCCTCAGCCTTGAAATGGAGTTACTGACTTGAGTTGGCATATCACCAAGTTAACAAACAAGTTTTTATGCCATGATATCTATCTATCAAGACCGGAAAATACCTTGGAGGATTCGTAAACAATAACTTAAGATGTATGAAGATCAAAATTCAAAAGTTGCTAACTATGCTTGTTTTGAAGTTAAGTTTCTTGAAATAAAGAACCCACCCACATTTGCAAACTTCCAATAACAATGCACATTCTTTTGTATAACAGACCAACTTATTATTTATCATTCCAGAGATACAAATATTCCTCCATATCTTACTACACCACCTTCATATAACTTACAAAACTAAAACTAAAAATCCTCTTTCTTAAAAGAACCAACAATATAAACAATTTTGTTTTCCCCCTCAAATTGTTCCTAACAAACTAAACCTATCTAAAGATTATGCAAAATCATTTTAGGCTTCATCATTCACGCACGAGACATTGGAGAAAACGGTGGATTAACTACAAAAGTAGGTGGAATTTCATCAACATTCTTACTTGATTTCCCTTTTTGCCCTTCTGCCACAGCCTCCATCAAGTGTTTGACTTCCTCCTCAATAAAAACCCTCAAAGAATCACATTTTAAAATCTTCCTCTTCACATCTCCTCCACATGCAACAATGGAAGCTTCTGTTCCATGCAACATACCAACACATATGGAGAAAGCTTGTAGTGAACTTAACTGTGCATGAAACTCAACCACATATTGTCCCTCTTCGGTCAACTTCATGGTCAAACCTGGCATCTTCTCTTTACTCCCCTGTATAAAAAAAAAAAAAAAAACAACATAATAACATCATTATAACTTTTTATATATAACTTTTTTAATAAAATAATAAAGTAAAAACCTTTACCTTGAAGAAAATCTCCACATCCGTTTTCACGTGATGATTGCCAAAAACAACAAGGGGACACCCCATGTCCCACCCTCCACAATCACAACCTCCACCCATTCGCCACCTGTCAAGTAATCGAGAGGCCCCACCACGAGCTTCACCTTCGCCACCTGGCAATGGCAAACCATGGTTACCTGAAGGGATCACCACATTAACTCTTGTTGGGGTTGAAGTTTCAACAACATCATGATTTCTCATATCCCCTTCTTTGTGTTTCAATGGAAACTGTAAAACAATGGCTGCAGTTTCAAGATCCGGATGTAAATCTTTCACAGGCCATGGATTTGAATTTGAAGAATTCATGTTGTTGACTTTTTCTTGGTCAATTTGGGTTTCTTTTGGGCGAGTAAGATCATATAACACAAATTCTGTGAGCATGGAGTTATTGAAACCTCCAGGATTTATCAATTCTGTACATAAATAACAAGAAACTTGCATCTGAGCCATCATTAAAAACTCTTTACTTCCATTTCTATGATGATGATGATGATGATCTTTAGATGTTCCATGTCCACTGACATTACTCGATCTTCTGTTTTGAGCCATGTGAAAAGTATACACCCAATTAAACCCATCTCCCATATTCCATGTTTTTGCAACCCAAACATCATGTGGATTCTTTACAGAAAACTCAAAATATGGCATCCCATTCTTGTTTCTCACCTTAAGAATCCCACTTAAGTGAGCAGCTGAAGAAGCAAAAGAAGAAGATGATAGGATTGAGCTACAAGAATCTTTTTTCTTACCCTCATCAGTGTTTGAGAAATCATTTAGCAATGATTTTCTCAAAGTAGTCTTTCTGGATGATGTTGCTTCATTGGATGTGGGTTCTTCGATCTTGTGAGACTTTGACTTTGTGAAGGGGTCAAACATCTTTCTGAAAGGACTGAAACGAGTCTTTGATGAGGAAGAAGAATCGGTTTCTGATTTGGTGGGAGATTGGGGGATAGATAATCTTGAAGATAGAGATTTGTGTAAAGGGATTGAAATGGAAAGATTCTCCTTGTTGACTGAATTGACTGAATTATTATTATTATTATCCTCATCTGAACCACATAAGGAATCAACTATTATTTCAGATGAAAACGGAATATCACTTTTTCTTGAAACTTCAATCTTCCTTCTCCCTTCACTGATTCTATTCATTCTGCTTGATTCTATGGAGCTTTGATACACAGAACCTCTTCTTGGTGCTTCTTCATCAACTTGCAACCTAATTGAAGGAGCAGTTCTACAGGATGCACTTCGGTATCGATTGAAGGTTATTTCTGTAAATTCCTTGTTTTGACTCAAGAATGATGATGCTTCATTTCTGAACTTGGGTTTAGGTTTCTTTCTAACCTTTCTCTTTTCAAGATTTGAATGATGATGAGGAGGAGAAGGAAGAACAGTCTTGGGACTTGCATCCACTACACAGTACTTTTCAAAATCCAGCTCTAAATCTTGACCCATTTATAATAAGATCTGCAGCCTTTAATCAGTAGAACACAACGGTTAAGTTTATTCAGAAAAAATATAAAGAATTAAAAGCAACAAACAGTAAAGAGTTTTGAATATAATAGTGTCATGAAAAGGATTCACGTTTACCCCATCTTTAACGAATCTCATACAGTTAGTTACAGCGATTAATCTTTGATCTCACTAAAAGCAAAAGCAGGAGCTAATTTCTAACTTGAGAGACAAGTTCAATTCACAGAATATTTGAGCCCTAATTAATTGTACAAACGCTATACAAAAATCAAAACAAGCACTCAAGATATCTCTTTGAAGCAAAGTATCAAACAGGTGGAGGACATAGTGATAATGATAAAGAAACAAGATGATTAAAAAGTAATATAATTGCAATTATATACATACGCTTGCATTGCAGGCCAAACAAAGCACCAATGATTGTTGGGAGATCTGGCACTACTACCCCACCACCACCCACCAGATCTTGATAAAGTGAACCCTAAGTATCCGAAAACACAACACAAGTTATAAAATCATAGCTTCCATCAGCTTCAACCTCTTGTGTAAATGCTAATTTGCTTATATTCACTAATTTAGGTAAGGTCTTGAAAAAACCTTGAAACAGAAAACCCAACAGATCTTTAGACCGTATTTTCCATTATTCTCCCGATCCTTAAGTTCTTAACACTACACAGTTTCACCAACTCAAGAAAGATCTCGAAGAGCAAATCACAATGTAGATAAATTAGGAGCGGGGTGTGATGAGAAAGGGAGCAAACAATATTGAACACTAATCAAACAAACAACACAAAAGCAAAAGGTGAACTGTGGAGAGTGAGAGAGGAGAGAGAAAGCATGCCTTGGAGTGAGAGAGCTGCTATTGGTACTAATGATAGGGTTTTCTCTCTCTATGTATAATCTGTATACGTGTAACTGTACGTATATGTATGTATGTATATGATCTACCAATCTCTCTCATGGTTCCACAATAAGACACAGAGAAGGAGAGACAGAGAGCTGCCATGGTTTGTGGTGATGTCTGCTAAAAGCATCTTCTTTCCTTTGACCCATTTTGCAATTCCTTTTTAATTTCGATTAAAAAATCACTTTACTTCCCTTTAAATTGATGATGTTACAATTTAACCCCTGTGATTTTACGGAACACTTGAACAATGTTACATAAAATTTGATTTGAACTATATAAGATTTTTTTTCTTACTTATTCTACATGGGTTCTTTTATTTAGATAATGAAACTAATATTTCTTTCTATTACATTTCTAAAGTACAAATGTAATAAAAATATTATATTGTTATATAGGTAACATATATTTTGTTTGATTCTTTTGTTTCGATTGTAATTTTATTATGTCTATGATTATCAATTATCATACCTATCTGGTTATTGTGTTTTTTTTTATAAATTTATATAAATATTCTCCATTTTATATAAAGTCAAAGATTTAGTCTTTAATTTTTTTTCTTGATAAAGATGATATATATAGTTTTAATTTTTTGTGGGGTTGGTCCATAACCCATGTAAAATGTATATTCTGTTATTATTATTATTTTTTATCTTTTTTTTAAGTCTAATCTATATTACTTTTAAGTTATATGAATAAACTAACATAAACCTTACCCCCCCCCCCCCTAATATTCACTTGAACCCTCCATCATCAAACAT